GGTAAGACAGCGACTTAGTAACTAGGTTGTTATTACGTTGTGACATAAGGTAAAACCGCGACTTAGTAACTAGGTTGCAACAACGTTGTGAGATAAGGTAAGACAGCGACTCAGTAACTAGGTTGCGACAACGTAATCCACAACGTAAACTACAACATCACTACAACGTTGTGAATCCGTAGTGTGTTAGCTGTGTAATTGTGATTTAATTATCAAAACGGGTTTCATCACTTCATCTTCTTATTTCAAAATGGTTGTCAAGTATATATTATTTGCCACAATACACACGTGCCTACACGTACTGTACCTACAACACGTCTTTTGTCAGACAACATTTTGCATTAGTTGATGATTTAATATATCTGCAATGGCTCATTTAAGTGTAGAATAAAACAATGTTCTCCCTCACCATTAACATGCATGAATACACACACAGTCTACAAACACAGCCCCGCCGAGCACAGATAGTGTTTTTGACAGTGCAGCAGTTATTTCCGTATATGATAACACCCAGACAATGCTTTTATTCTTTACGCATTAATCCTCATCGTGCAAAAGTATTATTTAACTGAAACAGGAAATAATGTTTAGCAATTTAGAGGAATCCATAAATATGAAGCTTAGTGTGACCTGCACTCATGCATTCAGTCAGTTTTAGCACATTATAGTGTCTTCTTCCTTGTTTCCTGTTGCCCGCTATTACGTGTAGGTGGGGACACGGAGTTACACCATCTAACATTGCAAACACTGATTAAACAATAGATCACAAGAAGTTATAAAGGTAGTATTTTAATGAATAAGCATCAGACCAAGATAACAATAAGCACACACACATGACGTAGCCCTGCAGTAACGGGTCAGCTTTGATGTGATGATGATAATTATGTACACGTGATTAATAATGAACAAAGCAGTGAGATGCTTCGTGGTATTTAGAAGTTGGAAGGTAACATAACAACGGTAGGTAGGTATGGATTTACAACGTCTTTTATGATTTACAACACGACATTTATGGGTCACTTCTTGTCCCTTCATTGGATGAATGGCAGAATATGATTTACAAGCAACATATATCGTACGTACAGGAGGCGAGTGAGAAGGAAGTAAAGTTTGAGATGTACAGAGATCAAGGAGATTAGGTGAAATATTTTGATTAAGATGTACAGAGTAGCGGAAATGTGCAGATCCTGTGATAACATCCACAGCTGGTGTAACCATGGATTTTGTCACAACGGTTACAAGTACATGTTCAGGATTCATGTTATCAATCATCCAACTGGATTGCAGATATCCGTCTGATATTTGCAGAAAAGGTCATGAAGCGTAGCATAACTGTTGGTTTCTGAAGCATTTCCAGCTTCTAGATGACTGAAGTAATGCTCTTCAGCTTGTCCTTCACGTGCAACAACCTGATGATTTCCTAGTGGTGCCAGTTTTTTTCTGAAAATGTAATCCTTTAGGATGAATAGGATGAGCAACTGATCTAAATATTTAGGTGGACGATAACATAATAGTTAAGCCAACACTAAGATATGCACAGGTTGATGCACGGGAAATTGACTACGTAACAAATCTTTACATAAAAATCATCCCAGGAAGAGAGTTTGAGGAGGACAGCGACCAGTTTGGCTGGTTTGATGTTTCTTATAGCCGCTTGCCAGTTTCACAAACACCTGGCGTTATCACTGATTATCAGTGATGTATTCATATAAGTATTCATCTTCTTAGTCTTTTTGCTTTCAATGAGTTTTCGAATTAAAATTGGATCAATACTTTAGCTCTCAGCAATGTTGTTTTTGTGAACATTTAGTCACCAACCGAGAATAATACATATATGTTATCCAGTAATTACGGTATCTTACCTTTAAAGGAAGTAGCAGCCAAGGCCACTGGTGACGGCAACAAGCGCCAGTATCCCACATGTGAGCAACAGAGATCACTGTAACTGAAACACATGAATACAAACTAAGGATCTCTTGAACAGGTATGTGTAAACAGTCACTTGTGATAAAACCTCGAACAACGTATAAAATGCGATCAATATAAATATTTCCACATTCATTGTAGGGAAACGATGCATGTGTTAAACATCTTGCAGACAAATATTGCCTTATTTTATTATTATACAGTGGAATTATCCAATAGGAGGTTCTTTCATTATGGATACTTTTATTGGAAGTTAATGTCATGGATCTGAGGTGTACGGTAACCAGTGATTCTCTGACCGTCGTTTGTTATCAATGTGACCATAGATTTGTCAATACATAGTGATTCTCCTTAATATACATCATAAGGTGGCGACCCATTCTGCGAAATATTAAAATAGACAAATGACGAAGCTACAAAACCCTTTTCCACGTCCATATGAAATATCTGCTAAAAAGCAGAGTCGATTATACAATATTTAGTTACACGGTGTTTTTGAAAGGACTAGGCCGGGACTATAAAACCTGCAATCGAATTCCGTATAACTTAATAACACAAACAATTTTAGCCGGAAACCTAAGCGCTCAGTCGACAAGATGATCAAACGCACAATTAACATCAGATAGTTTTACAGTCATCAATAGGTACCTTTACTGTTTTGAACCCTTGGGTTGTCGTTGAAGAAATAGAATTCAGTGCTATCGACCCTGAAGATCCTGAAACAACATTATAAACAACTATGGTGCGTCAAATGCCATATCTTTGTAGTAGTTATCATATTGCGGCAGTCAAAAGACCCTGGGGAGACAATAAGAAAAGATATATGACCATAATATCTAAATATGGTGCGTCAAATGCCTGTCTTTGTGATTGTCATATTGTAGCACAGTCAAGAAGCCCTGGGAGACAATAAGAAAAAGATATATGACCATAATATCTAAATATGGTGCGTCAAATGCCTGTCTTTGTGATTTGTCATATTGTAGCACAATCAAAGGCCCTGGGAGACAAAAGAAAAAAGATATATGACCATAATATCTAAATATGGTGAGTTCAAATGCCTGTCTTTGCTTGATTGTCATATTGTAGCACAGTCAAAGACCCTGGGAGACAATAAGAAGAAAATATATATGACCATAATATCTACATATGACTTTTTCATTCGCACCTTCGCTTCCTTTCCAATAATAAGAAACCTACGGGAAAGTTCCTGGAAACCAAAGGGAGGGCAACTTCACGTATGCACAACATGCTGCTGACACCTTATATTCAGGGTAAAGATATGTAAACCGCTGTGTGTAAAACTACAAAATCCACTATCTACAGGTAGGTAATTTTGCAGTTGCCAAGAAAAAGGTGAGTAAAATATGATCAAGAGAAATCGTCGATACATGTTCGTCCATTACCTTGCATTTGTTATCATTTACCAATATTTGAAGCGCATGCCAGGAAGTCTGTTTTTGTATGTCAATATCGCCGGAGACATATTCCTTGTCGCCTATCAATGTGAGATACCACATAGCGGACACAACACCATTTGTATTTTGAGAAGTACAACTGTGTATTACAACGCCTGTACCCGCTTGTGGACGAGTCCATAGATCCCTCCCGACATGGTACGTACCGATCAGGACCATGTCAATATAGGATAAAAACATGACACAATAAAGGAACCTTCTCATTATCTTATTTATCAGTGCGGCATCCACTGAAGGCATATCATGGGAGTTACAGCGGATTTTGTCACTAGTCACATCGAGCATAAACATAGTTTCTCGAGTTATTGTTTTCAGTGCCTAATATTTTTATACGTAGTTCACAAAATCTCATTCTATCATAAGATTCATCATCCGCTTTGAGCCCCATGCTTAAATGTCGCAATATGTGATACAATATCTCCGTCATAATACCTATCTGGTATCTGTGTTCCATTTGCAGACATTTTTAGTTGTTATCTTTCATATATATGCAAAACTGCTGTAATGTGGTTTGACAGTGCCGTTCGACCAAAGTCTCGTTATGCAGGTGTAGACATGGGCAAGATATATCCCGCTGCCTTGACTAGTTGCCTACAAGAGCTTTGTCTGCTGTCGGATCACGTCAGTAATGAGTTTTGTGAGTATTCTGTGAATGTTTAGCAGTTTCATATTGTAAATGCGTCTTAGTTATCAAAGTGGCGTTGTTTCAGCGAATTATTGTCGTGAGAGAATTAAAATAATATCTTGAATATAAATTGTTTAACTTTCGTTCTTATATATGGCTGTTTGCACTGTAAAGAAAATAAGAAATTTAGAGATCATTAAAGAAAATCCCAATCAAGACAGGCGGCAATTGTTTTTTCTCCTTGTCTAACTCAAGATTTACATGAAAAGTAACGTGTTTAATTGTTATTACAGGAAACATCTAATTTGTTATCCTGGTACATATTATAAATGACGTTCAAAACCTTTCAGGATATGCTAGTTTTAATAGTTTTTGAAAATCTACAAACGCCAAAATAATTTATAAATCTGTATAAGTTAGCTTTCAATAATCCGAAAGTTTATTTAAAGTAAATACGTGATCACTGGTTGAATAAATATTTCGGAAACCTGCCTGAGCTTCCGATAGTAAAGAGATAATTTCGGTGAATGTTTGCAAACGGTTACTTAAACCTGCTGTGAAAGGTTTACCAAAACATTCTCAAGAGGATAAGTGTCACACTACATATTGTGTGACTACAGTTTCGTCGGAGGAAGGACAACTTGCGGAGGCTGTCATGTAGGTGGTACCTCCTGGGTTAGGTGTAGATGTTAGCAGATGTATATCAATAATTAACCGGGTTGTTAATTTATATATATAAACGCATATATCATCGGCCGAGTCTGACTGTATGTAATTGATATGAGAGTTGATGCCATGGTTATCATCATGCGTGAGTTCAGTGTAGATTGAAATATAAGAACACTTTCCAGCCCCTCCCTGTTCAACAAGCATGTCGCACTGACTATATTCATTGCCACGAAAACCTTACACCATTTCCTGTAAATTGTGATTGGATTCTCTCTGTCAAAATGCTTACTGCTACTTGTGTTCCTTTGCAGACATAATAGTTGGTGTCACTACGGTTTGCGGGGAGGGAATGAGTCATTACAAGCTGTCTTGCAGGTGGTACCTGTTGGTTTAAAATATACTATTCGGTGAATGTAACCATATACATGTTGCGATTTTTCAACAATGGTTGATCACTGTCAGATTACACAGCAAACTAGGGTTACTGTTCTAGCCTGGTGGCGCACGAAACAGAATTCTAGACCTGTAGTTCATTGTAACAGCTTTATATCAATGAAAGTTAAGTTTCAGGTTTACCATTGTTCCCTATCCATATGGTGTTATGTTCAGCTGTGGCGTTCAGTAATACTATCCCGCCGATGGATGCAGCTAAATCCAGTAAAGTGAATATAGTGGCGTTCTTGTTGATGCAGTCTGTCTCTGCTGCCGACCAATTGAGAGCAACACAGGACGATTCAAATGTAAAGTAATCTGAGGAAGAGACACAATGACATTTACTTAGTAACAGGAAATGACAATAATTATATATAATGACAACCACACCATGTTTGGTATTTCTTCATATAACACAAAGAAAGCGGAATACACAAATTCAAGTGGAATCAATGCATCCCCTGTATAACCCCTCGTGTTATAGCTACCTATATGGTACTTGCATACGCGTATAGAATTACACTACATATTGGGTATTTCTTGTAGATGAGTTCAGTAGTCCAATACAAGTATGAGTTGGGATCCATCCGTTTAATGATACCGTAGATGGATAATGGTATTTGTATCCACTAACCAACACGAATAGCATATCCAGCAAACATAGGGTGCATTGACACATGAATGTTTGGAGGAAATGTAATCTCCGGTTTCACAAGGGTAGTCGTGTCAATCTATTAACACATAAAACTGCTCATTGTTTACTCACCTGATGAAATATGGCTGGCAATTACCCTGTATGTGACTGGCGTCCAGAATTATCAGTACCCTCTCATGACAAGCGGTATAGGGTTTACGTTACCCAGCGAGACATTGCAGCCACCCTCCACAATAAAGCACTACGCTTCCCTTCTCAGCACTCGCGAAATACCCACATCTATAGCGGTGGTTCAATTTCCTGTCGCAACTGAATGACTCGCTATGACGGTTTTTACACCCCGCCTGATAGGCTAGTTCGGTAAGATAAAAGAAGATGAGCGTGTTCATCACAACATACGTTACTCAAAACCAAATATTTCCAGCGATGTTATATTTTTTCAAATTTACTAACCCCTCAACAGATGTTACATGTATATATGTGCACAATCAGACCAGACCTTCAAGCAGCAATAACAATAGAAACAGACTGCCTTCAGCAGTTCTTGCTTCCAATTACCAGGAACGTCAAAGGCCAGCCTCGGTCCACGTACTTGTCTGCGGTCACATTCAGCATAAATCATCTTGTTACTAAAGATAAGCACTAACTATTTTAAAACGAGGTGTCAGTTACAATTACTGAGTGGGTGGACAAAAGGCAAACCCCCCAATCCCAAAGTCATCTAATCACAGGTGCCACATGACTCTGCTATCCAAAATGCGTGAAGTCCCTGCAAGTATGTTTATGTCCACACCTGCACTTGATATCCTGTCATATTACACAGCTGCATGATATCCTGTCATACACAGATTGCACGATATCCTGTCATACACGAAAGCTGCACGATATCCTGTCATACGCAGCTGCATGATATCTCTCATACACGGCTGCATGGTACATATCTCATACACAGGTGCATGATAT